CACTCCACACATCTCCCCACTCCACACATCTCATCACTCCATGCATGTCCTCACTCCACACGTCACTCCATGGATCTCCTCACTCCACAGAAACCTCACTCTACGGCTCTCTTGTTGGACGCTTCCTGTCATCCCACACGTCCCGTGGTCACATGCGTCTCCTCAGTGCACACCTCGTGCTGCCTCCTGCAAGGCACGACTGCTGACTTTGCCTCCTACAGCATTTCCACTGCTTGGCACAGGTGAATGACTCTGACCTCCTTGCTGACAGAGGGACACAAGCAGGTCATGTGTCAGCCCTGCTGTATGTGAATTCATCATTGACCGATGGACAGTTTTATTCTCTCACCAGCACTATTTAGAAAGTGAGGTTCTGGGTTTGGTTCCTTCTCGAATGCTCTGGGACTTCATTTCTGGAAAGTGAGCTCCCTGATCAGAGCAGAGGCCTGGGGCGGGCCTCACCCGCTGGGCCTCTTGCTGATCAGCAGCGCACACTCTCCATCTTTCCCTCCTTCCCTCCGCCCGGAGCAGCAGCTGGATCCGCCGCAGAAGGAGCAGCTGGGGAGTGCTCTTACCGAGATGGACCGACAGCTCAGGAGGCTGGCAGACACCCCCTGGCTCTGCCAGTCTGCAGAGCCCGGCGATGAAGAGGTATGTGGCTCATGGGGCCATGCCTGGGTCCCCCGGACATGGTGGCTCTTGCCTGCAGTGCCTGTGTTCCTTGTGGCTTGTGTGGCTCTGGGATCAAGATGGTGTCGCTCTGGCAGCCGCTGAGGGGCCTTCTCCAGACTTCGCTATTAAAATGCTCTTTAAGGCAGGGAGGGACAGCAGGTAGGAAGGAGTTCGGGGCTGGGATTAAGCGTGCCTCTTGAGGACCAGGGACCTGTTGTCCTCTGAAACAGAACTGCAGGGCTTCCTGGACAGGGGGTAGAAAGAAGGCTGAGCCCAGCCCCACAGCCTCCACCGAGGGTGGAGATGCATCATGGGATAAATGGCAGCTTTTTGGGATCTTGCTGTGGACAGGGCGCAGTTGGTGTGCACCACTCCCCACTCACACACTCTTCCTGTGTGAACAGAAAGACTCCAGCTCGTCGCAGGTCTGGGAGGGACCCGAGGACCCAGGGCATAGCGGACCCTGGGGTGGAGTCACATTCTTCTGCAGGGAGCGCTGGCTGAAGGAGCCCTGGAGAGGGTCGTGTCTGGACAAGGACAAACCCCAGCCTGTCTCTTGGCTTCCCCCCTTCAGAGATAGAACACAAAGGGGCCATGAGGAAAGCTCATCTTGGGCAATACAGTTGCAGAAGGCAAATAACTATAAGACGCCAAACCTGGGCACCCCTGCCTAGTGGGGTTTGTGAGGACTGTGGGCAACAGTAAGGTGAGGGGACAGAAGTGGGCAGCTGCACAACAGCACGCTCTTTCCAGGACCCTGGGGCGTTTTTTGACGCATGCAAGCCCTTCATGGGGAACTGACTCAGGCCCTCCAGCCGATGGATGAGACTCTGCAGCTTCTCATTGAGGGCACTTGGGTATAAAAGGACAGGGCAAGCTCCTCAAAATCCATTAAATAATTCATTGTAAAGGTGATAAAAAATTTTACCCAGAATTACAAAAATCATAATACATAACGATTCAACAGATGTAACAGTGACATAGCCCTCTAATACCAGATTAAATTAAGGCCAGTAAAGTGGGCAGTGAGGTGAGAGGCTGTGAAGAGGACCTGGACAGGGGAAGGAAAGCATGTTAAGTTCCTCCTCTTACAGTGGAAGGACGTTACAAACAACATTCTTGACTTTCCTACTTGGAGAAATACAGAGTCAATAATGTTTTTAGGGTCAAGAGTGGTGGCTCGCACCTGTAATCGCAGCACTTTGGAAGGCCAAGGTGGGAGGATCACATTAGACTAGGAGTTCAAGACCAGGCTCGGCAACATAGTGAGATCCTGTCTCTATTTTAAAAAAATGTTTTTTTTTTTAACTTAAAGGTAATTTCTAATAAAGCTGAAAAGATTTGTATCTTCCAAATTGCTACCAAAGACAAAAATAAAATACAATTTATATTGTAAAAGAAAATAAAGGACCAGCAAGGGTATCACTAACAGCATGAAAATAAGATAACAGATAAATGACATGGCTTTCTCTTAAAAGCAAATTCTCAGGTTGTGTTTAAAAAGAAACCTAACCATATATTGCTCACAAGAGCCCTGTTTTTTTCTCATACTCCTAATAAAAATTTATGATACAGAAAGATTAAAAATAAAACACCATTAAAAAATCCAAAGTAACAATATAAAAATAAAATTGCATATCTAAGACAGTTACAACAGTCATGAAACTGTGCCAAATAATAAGCATCTAAATTAGCTACTCAAGAATATGTTTTTTATTTCCCTAACTTCATTTTACTGTGCTCCAAGCAGTGGTCTGTGTGTTACTAGTCCTTTGAAATGTATTGAGGTGAGACTTGTCTTATGGCCCAATAGGTGGTTTTTGTAAATGTACCTTGTATGCAGTTGTGTTTACATCAATAAGTTCCTACTGAAATTTTTTTTTTGTCTTCTTGATATATCAGTTAACTCTAATACCATAATTGTAGATGTCTCAGTTTATCTTTGTGGTTATGTTTATTTTTGCTTCATGTATTTTGAGGCTATGTTATTGGGTACCCATAGGTTTTATCATTATCTAATGATCCTTTTATCTTTAGTAATTCTTTTTATCTTCAAGTCTACTTGCTTGCTATGTTTTTTTCATAGTTTTACTTTCAAGCTTTATTTGGAGTGTCTCTTACAAAGAGCGCATCGCAGAGTGAGGCAGCGTTACCTCCCTGCGTCCCTGGGAGTGCTCTGTGGAGAGGCCGCTGCTGCTGATGGCTGTCAAGAGCAGAGGCCGAGCTCCTCTGTGGCTCTGCTACTCACCCTTCCTCCGCTTTTGTGCCTCAGGGAGTGGATCGCAAGGAAAGAATGTAAAGTGCAGGAAGAGTTTTCGTTAGATACTCGTAATACTAACAATCAAAGCCCAGCAATCCAACACTAGAAGATTGGCTAAAGAGGTTATTTTAATAATTTTCGTGTAGATACTGATATTTATATTTTCAAAAAGTTTTTAAATCTCATGAGAAATGCACATGTAAAATGAAGACAGTAGACTATGATAAAAATAGACACTGTGATCACTTTGAAGCCACTTTAACAGTCACTAAAATCAACAGTAAATACAAGCATCAATAAGGGAGAGAAGCCGTTTCAGGAACAAGAGGTCTTTCCCAGCTCCCGCTCGTCTCAGCCCTGCCTGCCCTCCCAGCCTCTCTGGTGGAGATGGGCATGAGGCCGTGACCAGTTGCAGCCTGATTCTCAGTATTTCTCACTCTCCCCAACAGAGCGTGATGCTGGATCTTGCCAAGCGCAGTCGCAGTGGTAAATTCCGCCTCGTGACCAAGTTTAAAAAGGAGAAAAACAACAAGAACAAAGAAGCCCACAGTAACCTGGCAGCCCCGGGTACCTGCTTCTCTCCCGTGTGTGTTTCTGGCCGTCCCTGCCTGCTGGCTCGGCCCGGTTCTCCTGGCCTGTGCTTTCTCCCTTGGCCTTGTGGCTCCTCCCTCTTGGTCCCCGTGCTGTAACCCCCGGTCCCATGGCCACACTAGTCTGTTCGTAGCTGCAGCCCTCCACCCCGCCTGCTTCCCCTCTGACCGTTGTCAGACCCGGCCCTAACGTGCTCTCTGGCTTTCTGCCTGCCCTGACTTGGGAGATTCGAGGTGGGGAGGAAGACGGCAGTGGTGACAAGACAAACTTGGAGACACAAAGCTCTGAACTCAGGCTGCGCTGGGGCATGCTCCGCCTGCTCCCTCCTGGGCTGCTGGCTCCTGATAAATCGATGCATTGGTCAAGGTTCCTGTGCTGGGAACCCCAGGCCACCAGAGATTGTGGGTGATGAAATCAATCGAATATGGTCCTAAAGGACATTGTTCCTTTGGGTCAGTAAATTGGAGCTAAACTCTCTGTCTGAAGGATCAGCCCTGAGGACCCAGGCCATATCCAGTGCTGTCAAGGGCTGGAGAGGCCTCCAAGCCTGGATATTGGGACTGGTGTTTGCCGCCAGGCAGGGCAGCTCCTGTGGGTTTTTCTTCTTTGCATGTTTGTCCAGAAATTGGGTTTCTGTTAATGATGGTGGCCCCGACTATGTGAAATTGGAATCTCTGCTTGTCTCCCTTCCTGCTATGGTCCAGAAGTAAAATTTAACCCTTCTAGAAGCTGGAGGAAAAGCTGGCTTTGGCCACAATCATGGGGACATTTCCCTCATATTTGGTGGTGGTAAATCCCTCCTGGGACACGGGGAAATGACCAGAGGCTGGTGGCCCACCTGGCAGGAACAGATGCCAGTTCTGCTGCAGCTGTTGCCCCCTGAGTTGGTGGCTCTCTGTTTCTGCACTGCTGGTGGGTGGTGCTGTTGGCTGGATGATGGGTGCCGGCTGCCAGAGATGGCTCAGGTGCTGGCTGCTGGGCTATCTCGGGTGCTGGCTGCTGGGCTATCTCAGGTAGTGGCTGCTGGGCTGTCTTGGGTGCTGGCTGTTGGGGCGTCTCCTGTCCTGGCACTGGGCTCTCGGGTGCTGGGTGCCGGCCGCTGACTACCTCGCACTGGGCTCTGGGCACTCACTGCACTCGTGCTTTTCCATCTCCGACAGTTCACCTCTGGGGGACAGAGGAGGTTGCTGCCTGGCTGGAGCACCTCAGTCTCTGTGAGTATAAGGACATCTTCACGCGGCACGACATCCGGGGCTCTGAGCTCCTGCACCTGGAGCGGAGGGACCTCAAGGTACTTCCATAGGCGTCTCCCTGGAGCCTGCACGTGGGCTTGCACGCGGTTGCCTTCTCTTCCATCCTCTCCCCCGACCTGGCCACGTCTCAGCATCATGATTCTTCTCAGGCCTTTGTGTATACCTCAGGTGGGGGCGACTGTGGCCCTCACCCTAGGCAGTGATGGCTCCCCCCCCACAGCCAGAGGAAGCCAGGAGCAGACATAATGGGGTCAGAGCCTTGGTTATCTTAGCCTAATCAGACAAGGACTGTCTTCGTGTTAAAAACCCGATGAGGGGACACAGCCCCCTGAAGCAGTCACACGCGACTGTCCCCATGCTGCTCCTGGGCGGGTGCCGCCACTTGTCTGCAGGGAGCATTGGGAGGTGGCGGTTGGGTGCCAGGCCTCGTCTATGCCAGGCATCACGCCACATCTTGCAGCACCATGCCCCTGCCCAGGTTGGCCTCAAGGGGCCGCCCCTGGGTGTTGAGTCACTGGCCGAGTCCCGAGAGGGCAGATTGCCACTGTGGGTGTCCTGGACAGCAGCTCTCGTGAGGTCACTTGTCATCCACTTGCTTTCAGGCCTGTGTTTTGTCTTTGTCTTTGTCTTGGATTTGTCCTTGCTGATGGCAGTGACTAGAATGCAGGACGATGGGCCAGGCATCTGTATGGTGGTTATTTTTAAGCCGTTTCCATCCTGTTTTACCGTTTTTGTCATTTTCACTCTCATTTGTGTTCACAAGCCGAGTGGAAAGGGCTACTGTGGCAGGCCTGCTGTGGAGCCCTCTGGCTCCAGCTGTCTCCCCAGCATCCATGGTGGTGTCCCCTCTGTTGCAGGACCTGGGCGTGACCAAGGTGGGCCACATGAAGAGGATCCTGTGTGGCATCAAGGAACTGAGCCGCAGCGCTCCCGCCGCCGAGGCCTAGCCTCTGCCCTCTCAGCCTGCGGCCTCCACATCCCCGCCGCCGAGACCTAGCCTCCGCCCTCTCAGCCTGTGGTCTCTGCGCCTCCTGCCACTGAGGCCCTGGGCGGACGCTGCAGCCCGCCCCCTTCTCATGGTGCTACTTCCTCTGTCAGCTACAGAAAGCCTCCGTGACACCGTCCACCAGAGCTCTGGGGTCTCGAACATAACAACACAGCTACCTTTGAAACAACACCTTCTCCAGCTCAGAGTCACCTGGAGCACATGTGTTGCGGTTCTTCCCCGCCTGTGTTGTGGGCCAGGGAATCTGGCAGCGTTTGGCCTCCTGGGCACCCCTTGCCTGGCCACGTGCTTGGATTGTCCCAGGGGCTCCTCTCCCTGTGTCCTTCTGTGGCCACACTGTGTGGCTCCGCCTCCTGGCCCCCGTCCGGTTCTCGGAAACGTGGCTGCGGCCCAGCAGCCTACAGGAGCGCGTTTGTTGATGCAGCTTTTGTTGTTGAACAAAAATGATGCTCTTTCCTGGTTTGAAAGTAGCATGGATGTTTCCAGTCCTGTTGATTGTAATTTGACGTGAAAAGAAAAATTTCTCCTGCGTGAGCCAAGGCAGCGAGTGCTGTTTCCTAGGCGGGGAGCCCCTCACTGGGTGTCGCAGGGCCTGCGTTCCTCCCTCCTCCCTCCTCCCTCTCCCCTCTCCCCCCTCCCCCACTGTGGCCTGGGGACACCTGCCCTTCTGTCTCCAGATGCTGTAGGCCTCAAGTTCAGCTTGGGGCTGTGAGTGAGACAGCTTGCCAGCTGCATCCCCACAGACAGAGGATGTGTGTCTACATGAGTTCAGTGTTTCTGTGTGGGAAATGCTTCCTGGCTCTGGGAAACTCTTTCTGTCCATTCTGTGGTTCCCAGGGAGCATGGCCCTGGTGGGCAGGTGTGGTTTGACCTCTCCACGCCATCCGGTGGCCTGGAGGCCAGAGGCTGTCCTAAGTATCTCTGCCCCTGCGGTGGCTGCTTGTCTCCTGCTACCAGGCCTGATGTCGCTGGAGGTGCTGGCGGGGACTCTGATTTGATGGTCCGCACTGCTCCTGCCCTGCCTCTGTCCTGGCTCTGAACTAGCAGATGATGGTGCCAGAGGGCAGGGAGCTCAGCTGGGGAGAGGGCTGTGCCCCGCAGGGGCAGTCTCCAGGTGGAGGACGCGCCTGGTCCTCCAGGGCACTGACTTTGCCCTTTTTTCCCCTTGATAGTTACGGCTCGCAGGGGCTCGTAAATATCTTGGGAAGAGGTTTCTGTAACCCCTGCCCTGGTGTGAGGAGGAAATGGCTCTGGCCTGGCTGCCTGCCTGTAGCTCCATGCCCCAAAGAGAAGGACAGTGTTGGGAGTGTCTGCCGGCGCCGCCCCACTCCTTTAGTCAGCGTCACGCCATCTGACATGCAGAAGCTGGGCTGCACCTGTGGGGGAGGGCATAGACGGGGCTGGCTCTGCGGCAGCCCTCGGTCCTGAGCAGGTGGCAGTGAACAGCGCTGGCCCATCTCTCACAGCCCCTCTGTCTCCTCTGCAGTGCGCCTAGATGCGCCCCTCCACGTGCCTTGGGGTGCTCCGCTTTCATGGTCCTTCTGGGCCAAGGCCCTTGGAGTGAGGAGGCTGAGCCAGGGTTTCCCCAGTGCAGCCTCCTGTCCCTCCATGCGGCGTGTGGGGGTTTTGGATGAAAGACTCTCCCGTGCTCTGTTGGTGGACTTAGCTGCCTCCCTGGAGGTGATGTGGGTGGAAGGTGGTTGTGTGTCACCTTTTCCACCCGTGATTGTTTTCCCCAGAACATTTTAGATGGGGTTGGCAGAGGGAGAAATAAGCCAGCCATGGCAGTCGCTTGGTTTCCCAGGTGGAACGGGCTAACACAGGAGATGATGGGAGCCTGTCCTGCAGTCCCTGCATGACCACTGGCCCTGCTGACCTGGCAGTGTGGGCATCCTGGGGCTCTTAGGGTCCCAGAACAAGCCCCAGGCAAGCTGGAACTCGGGTGAGGAGGGGACATGAGGATAAACAGCCGACCGTGGCTTCAAGGACATCAGGGCCATCCCAAGTCCTCAGTGTCCTACTCCTGGCAAGGAGTTGGGTTTGGATCAAAGTGTTTAAAATTAATATGTTGTCAGTGATTATAACAACACTGTTTACATAAAAACCATTTTTTCTAATTCTAACAAGTTAGAAGTGAGGAAGGAATGAACACGCATGTTTAGGAAACTGTCCTTTGGTGCTGGGCTGGTGTCCTGCACTGGGGTGTCGCTGCTGTCCGGGGGCTGCTCTGCTGCCCCGGCCCAGGTCCCCTTGTGGTGTTGCCAGACAGGCCTCACGGTCTGCTGTGCAGAGAGAGGCAGGAAGGATCCCTGAAGAGTCTTGGGGAGAAGGTTCTGTGCCCTCAGGTGGGGCTACCCCCTCGTATTTATAATCTTAATTTATATAGTGACCACCGTGGAAACAAATGCCTCTTGTATTGTTATGTACATAGTCCATACCTGAGTGCTGTACATAAGTTGGTCTGTGTATAAATAAAACAAGCCTGTTTTTGATCTTCCATCGCCAGAGGCCTTGTCATCATTCCTTGTGCTTTGACATAAAGTGTTGGTTGCCAGAATCTTTCCAAACTGGATTCAGAATTGTATTTCACCTGCTCTGAAATAGGTTGAGTTGGTGGTGGCTAAAAGGCAAAACAGAATGCCATTAGAATGCCATTGTATTTTTTAGGATGTGGGTTCTGTGATCTGTTGGACTAAAAATTCAGCAAGGAGAGAGGGGGTACTAGGCAGTGCTGAGACTCTCAGTTGTGATCACACAGCCTTGGCCCGGGAGACTGAGCCATTTTAATGAATATTTTAACCCTCTTAAATCTTTTCCATAGAACTGCAAACCTGAAGCTCTCAGACTTCTCTGCTTAGTCTTGGTACTTTTATTCCAAGGGAACTGTCTAAGATCGAGGCCACTTGAATTGTTTTCCCCAGTTTCCTGGAAGGAGGGACGGGGACTGGGTTCATGGAAGACGCCCTTGGGCTGGTCGGGTACAGAAGGGCTGCATGTGCTCCGGGAGTGTTGGCTGCCTCCCTAGCAGCTCTTCCCCCCTCCTTCCATGCAAACAAATCCCAAATCCCCCTGTGTTTTTTTTCCTGGTGTGTTCTCTCTGGCCATTCAGGACCTCAGGCCTCACGGTTGCCGGATGGCCACCACAGCTCCAGGCGCCACACCAGTCCAGTGTAAGGTGTTTGGAGACAAATGGCTGCCTCTTTTATGGGTCACTCGCTCTTTTGTGTTTTGAAGATGTCTTGCTCTGCCTTCTGGGCTGGAGTACTGTGGCATAATCATAGATCACTGCAGCCTCCAACTCCTGGGTTCAAGTGATCCTCCCACCTCAGCCTCCCTAGTAGCTGAGAGCACAGATGCATGACAACACACCCAGCTAGTTTGTAAAATTTTTTGTAGAGACTGGGTCTTGCTACCTAAGCTGGTTTTGAACTCCTGGCTTTAAGCAATCCTATGTGTCTCTTTTTAAGATAAAGGGAGACCTTTCTGAAGCTCTGGCTTCAGCTGGCCTCCTCTAATGTCTTGGCTAGAACTGCCTCACACACTCATGACTAAACCAATCAGTGCGAAGGGTACGAGCTATGACGGTGATGGGGATGCTGATGGCTGACGCTTTATAATTTGTGCCAGGTGCTGATCTAAGTGCCTTGCACGTATGAACTCCTCTCATTCCCCTGACAGCTTTACATGGGGGGTTATCTGCATTTCACAGGCGAGGGACAGGCTCAGAGAGGGGACATAACTTGCCCCATAAGGCACAGCCAGCACGTGGCTGACACGGGAGGCAGAGGGCGTATCTTTTTGACAGCCGTGCTCTCCTGTGTCCCAAGCCTCATAGCAAGCCCAGCCCACATGACAGGTGAGGAAATTGGACCCAAGTGACAGGCACGCTTTCCAGCACAGCAGCCGGGGCGTCTCACTTGCTGGGGGCACCAGATGTTCGGGCAGGGGCAGACCTGGGGGGAGGCTGGTGTGTGCTCCGCCCGCCTCACTCCTGCGCTCGCATGGCCCATCTCACACGGGGCATGGCTCCATTGTGTCCAAAAGCAGTGAGGAGGGGGCTTCTCACAGAGATGGCATCTGACAGTGGTGGGAGGCCGGACGGCGATCTGAAATGGAGAGGGCTGCTCAGGTGTAGATGGCAAGATGGGACAGTAGAGTCGAGTGGAGAAAATGCAGCGGTCTATATTGTTTTTAAACTGATCCTCTTCAGAACTCCACCAGTTAGAAAAACAAACTGGGTGCTTGGTCCAGTAATGTTAACTGACCCCTGGATTTGTGGCCTCTGTTGTTTGCCAGAGCAGTTTTGCTGTGGTCCCTCCACTCCTTTGTGCCCTGGCTCCAGGTGGGCTCACACGCGTCCCTTGGCTGTAGGTTGCTGGACCCCACCCAGAGCTCTTAGACCTGGGCTAGGAGCGGGTGCAACTCGGAGTCGCCCCTCTGGGGTGGGGGCGGCGTGGCTGGGAGGGAGGTGCAACAGCCACACCAACACGAGGTGCTGCCATCTTTGAAGCACATGCGTGTGAAGGGCATGGGCACCTGGAAGCTCTGGGCAACGCACCTTCCCCTCTCCCCCGACTGTCATTCCATCCTGGAACCCACGCACATCACCCACTTAGAGCCCAGGGCTTTCACTGGCTCGTAGGAAGAGGCACTTGGTGGCTGCCTGGTGTGATGGAGCTGCTGGTGGCGTCTCAGCAGCTGGGGAGGTGCCTGCGGAGACAGAACCACCTCGGAGAGAAGCACACTGCGGCCTGGCAGAGGCACCACTGTGCCCTGAGCACTTGCCTGGCCCCGCCCCGGCCTGGTGGTGGGCTCTTGTTTCATGAACCGGGAGATTGCCATGTCTGCTCCTGCCACCCCGAGTTGGGGCAAGAACCTGCAGATGAAGGGCCCTGTCTGCCACTCTGCAGCCATTGCCACGGGGACCTGGACGCATGGCAGCGCACCTGCCGCGTGTGTGTGGGCGTGTGTGGTGGGGTGGGGGAGGGCAGAGGCCGGAGGGAGCTGGAAGCAGTCTCTCTTTACTTGGATATTGAGGTCACCGCTTCACTCTCCTCTCAAGTGCAGTGAATCTCCAGAATGTAAATGCACCCAGAATTCGTTGGTTATGGACTTTATTAAAGCCTAGTATGGCCGTGCTTTGGGTGGGTGCGTTATCCAGAATGAAGGATGGCCTGCAGGGTGAAGGGGCTGTGGTAAGTTGGCCCCTCACTGGTAAGTCTGTTCTGCAGCTAAACTCACATAGATGGCGCCAAAATGATTTGCAAGCTAATTCTTGCCCCTCCCTTTTTTTGGCTAGAAAAAGTCACTGTTGAATAAGTATGTTTTCTGCAATGCCACCACCATTACCTATTTCCATAGAAGGAAAACAAAACCAGATTACATCCAGTTTCTTCCAGTGCATTTTTTCCCATGAGTCTGAACTTTTTAAAACCAAAGCAAACTTCTGTTATTTCTAAAGCAGCACTGCTGCAGTATTTCTAAATAGAGACTCTGTTTATTTAGCATCTGAAGCAGGCTTGGGAAAAAGGGCCACAAAAGTTCCTTATTTTATTTATGTATTTATTTATTTGTTTATTTATTTATTTATTTATTTATTTGAGACGGAGTCTCGCTGTGTCGCCCAGGCTGGAGTGCAGTGGCATGATCTTGGCACATTGCAACCTCCGCGTCCCAGGTTCAAACAATTGATTCTCGTGCCTCAGCCTCCCGAGTGACTGGGACTACAGGCGCCTGCCACCACGCCCAGATAATTTTTTGTACTTTTAGTAGAGACAGGGTTTCACCATGTCAGCCAGGCTGGTTTCACACTCCTGACCTCAAATGATCCACCTGCCTTGGCCTCCCAAAGTCGTGGAATTACAGGCGTGAGCCACTGAGCCCAGCCAAAAGTTCCTTTTTTTTTTTTTGAGACGGAGTCTTACTCTGTCACCCAGGCTGGAGTGCAACAGTACGATCTCGGCTCACTGCAACCTCCAACTCCGGGGTTCAAGCAGTTCTCCTGCCTCAGCCTCCCAAGTAGCTGGGATTACAGGCACATGCTACCATGCCCAGCTTTTTTTTTTTTTTTTTTTTTTGGTAGAGACGGGGTTTCTCCCTGTTGGTCAGCCTGGTCTCGACCTCCTGACCTCAGGTGATCCACCAACCTCGACCTCCCAGAGTGCTGGGATTACAGGTGTTGAGCCACCGAGCCCAGCCAAAAGTTCCTCTCTCAAGCAAGCTGGACATGAAGTAGCCGGCAACCAAAAGAAGCTAAGGGCTACAACTTTAAAAAATGGTTTATTTCTCCTTTAACAAAATCATACAGCGTTCTCAAAACCCAATTTAAAAAAACAGAAAACAGGAAGAAAGGGAAGAAGGCAAAGGCCACATGCATAGGCTGGCCTGGTCACACGCACCTGCTGGACTTAAAGGCACATCAACCCACAGGCGTCTTTGGACTTGCAGAGACATTCTGCGAGGCTTCTGGCCTCTCAAAGGCAAAGCTTTTCAGCGATTTCATTAGTTTCATTACGTTGAGATGAGATGAAGGGGGATGCTACGGAAATATGTCAGAGCCACAGAAACAGAACAGCTTAAGAAGGGCTGGGCGCCCAGCTCCATGGTGTCATCAGAAGCCTCTATCTCCCTCTATAAAGACGCCGTCTACACCCAGGGTGAGTCTCCTGAGCGGGGTCAGTGTTTGGGAGTGGGAGGCAGCTTGCTCGTCAGAGTCCAGTCCTTACGGCACAGTGCTTCACAGAAACGCACAGACATCTATGGCAGACGCTCAGACACGTGTGTGGAAGCGACGCGGCTCCTGTCTGGTAGTGGTTTGGACCGTTGGGAGGAGGATGCGGGGCAGAGCGGGCCGCTGGCTCAGCGTCAGCTTGTTGGAAAAGGGTCACAGGCGGGGGAGCGCCTGACTCCAGCGGTGTCCTTCCTGCCCTCACACGTCAGTGCTGCTTCCCATCAGTGACGGGGCTGACAAGAAACCATGAGGCCCAGGTGACAAGCAGGCTCAGAACGTGTGACACCGTCTTCGGGATGCTGCTTTCCGCTAAGTTGCTGTCTGGGAAAGTCAACCATCTGTGTCCCAAATCAACTCAGTGACACAGGTGCTATTATTTCTCACAAATGCCAATTAAATCCTTTAAGATGAATAGAAACCTGGGTTGGATTAAGTGGAAAAACGCTTCCTTAGTTTACGTTTTTTCTCAGGTGTTTTCATTGAGTCTACTCAGGAACCCAGTCAGGCTGCCCAGGACACCTGGAACCTGGGCTATGCCAGGCCTGTCTGCCACAGCCCTGCCTGCCCCACTTCCACAAAGGAAGAGAGGATGAGGCGCTGTGGACGGCAGCGGCCGCAGTTCTCGGGATCCAAGGACATTCTCCTCACAGAGCACCTAGGGGAGGCTGGGCCTGGGGGCTGATGCGCAGCGGCCGTCCTTGCTTAGCAGAGCGGCTCACCCTCGGAGGCCGCCCTGTCTGGTTCCTCCTCGTGGAAAGAGCTCACACTTTTCAGCATTGCAGTTTTAACTCAGACCAAAGGGCAGACATGGAGCATGTGGGGCCAGAACGAGTGGGGTAAATGAAGTCCTGAAAGCAGACCCCACTTCTGCTCAGCACCAGCGCGGTGGCGCAGTGGCCTGAGACACTGTGAGAACCCAGTCAGGGCGAGCGGGAGTCATCTGAACGTGGAGGAAAGCGGCCAGGCTGACCGCGCACACCTCCCACCGCAGTGACAGCATGCCGCTGCCTCCGTGCCTGCGCTTCCTGCACACGTTGTGTATTTTCTGGTTAAAAGAAAAAAAAGCCAGCTGGGGCCAGGTGCTGTGAGAGCCCAGCACCTACTGGCAGCTGGATGGGTGGCGTCCAGGGCTGTGCCAACCCCCGAGGCTGCCATGTGTTGCAGAGCTAAGTGACTACGTGCACTGGCCAGGCCGCAGAGGAGCCGTCCCTGTGCTCAAAGGAAACAGAGGATTTGGGATTGGAGGCGCCAGGCTGCCAGTCCCCATGCCCAGGAAGCCCACGTTTGTGGCATCAGCCGGAGAGTTCATCAGGAGCGGAGCCGTGCGCGGCGGGGTTATCTGAAACTCCCCACGTGGATGGAGAGCGAAGTTTCTGGGGCTCGGGTCCGGGCAGGCGTCTCTGCACTGGAGAGGATGCAGCTGCTCTGTTCACGGAGGGCTTCTCGGCTGTGGAGACACAGAGACTGTCACTGACTCATGGATGCGGTGGGTGCCGGGGTGAGGGGTTCACAAAGACTCCAAAATACACTCCCATTTTATAGGCCACAGGGATATGCATTTGCAATTGGACAGACAGATCTCAGCCACCTGCCAGAGGGCCAGGCCGGCAGCTGCCGTTCCCTGTTTGCCTTTGCGGCACGGCATGGTTCAGGCTCTGGGGCTTTCTGAATCTGCTCAGTGAAAATGCCTCACAGCTGAGAAACCTTCCTTTCCTTTTTAAATGGAAGAGTAACATCCGGAGTGCACACGCACGGCACACGCACGGCAGACGCACGGCACACGCACGGCACACACACGGCACGCACACGGCACACGCATGGGAAACATACTGCTGCATGACTCATCACAATCACACACACCTGTGTGACATGACGCAGAGGCTGCCTCTGCCCCTTCAGTCTTGTCCTGAGAGAAAGGCCACTCGACATCCCACTCAAGAGACTGGCTTTTGCTGTGACCCCCTGGCCCATGGCACCGTGTGGCAGGTGCTCTGCGGCCGGGTGCTTTGGCCCAGCCTGATGTGTGTGTCCTGCCCACGCTGCACAGTCCCTGGCAGGAAGCCTCCACAGCCCACCCGCCATCCCACTGCTCAGCAGCCTTTCCTTCAATACGGCCAGAATCTGGCCTTGGTGAATGAAGCTGCCGTGTATTTTTGGGGACATCCTGGTGGGCACATGTCCATGTTTTTGAGGAGTAGAAGGCTGGGTACCGGGAAATGCACAGGAGATGCAGCACGAGGTACTGTCCTGAGTTCCAAAGCATCTGTGCCAATCCCACACCCACACACAGGGGATGAGAGCCCCAGGGACTCTGAGTCCTCGAACACATGGGTCTTTCCCGCTTTAGCGTTGCCAATGGGCGTGTGGCACTGTCTCGGGGTAGCTTGAATTTACATCTGTTTTATCATGAGTGAATGGCTGAGCATGTTTTTATATGTTGGCAAGCGAGCTGCAGTTCCTTTTCTATGAACTGTTCATATCCTCACCTCTATTTGTATTGGATTGGTTGTCTTTTTCTTATTTGCAGATAATGTTTACAGCCATACCCTCTGACCTAGCAATTCCACTTGCAAAAATCTGTCCTACAGATATATCCACATCTGTACTGCAAAATGGGGAATATACAAGGTTATTCACTGTGATGGTGACAGATTGGCGACAACCTGGAAGTGTGTGAGGTGGGCATATGTCACCTAAACCGTGGTCTACCCATGCATCAGGACAGCACGCTCCCACCATGAGACTGGGCAGCTGGGCACACACCGGTGCAGGAAAACAGCAAGGCCACCAAGACAGTTCTGGTCAAAAGAGAAGGGAAGCTCCTCTACCCCTATACACAGGTCTCTGAAAGGACATGCAGGTGACAGTCACGCTGGCCCATCTGGGAGAGGCTGTGTACCTGGGGATGGGGGTGCAGAGATTTCTCAGTGAACCTCTTTGATGGCTTTTGAAAGCATGTGACTCTATTAACTCCACAAAATAGATAAATGAAAAACAATATGGTAAGTGGTTCCATCACGGTGTTCAGAAGACACCAGTGGTCTACTGTTGTGCAAACAGCACGCATGAGGCTTAAGATGAGGTTTTCAGTGACAGCAACACGAATCTTTAAAATGCGCTATCTCCAACGCCACAGATGAAAATGGAGATACCAGGGCCTGGGAAACTGTTGGATGTCTCCAAATAACAGCCCTGGTGACAACTAAGGCTTTGACAGAGAGGATGTGTGGAGAAGTCTGACGAAGTCAGTGGCATCACATTTAAATGTGGAAAACAGGGCCAGGCGCCGTGGCTCAGGCCTGTAATCCCAGTACTTTGGGAGGCCAAGGCAGGTGGATCACGAGGTCAAGAGATCGAGACCATCCTGGCCAACATGGTGAAACCCCGTCTCTACTAAAAATACAAAAATTAGCTGGGCGTGGTGGTGCACGCCTGTAGTACCAGCTACTTGGGAGGCTGAGTCAGGAGGATCACTTGAACCTGGGAGGCGGAGGTTGAAGTGGGTCGAGATTGCGCCACTGCACTCTAGCCTGGTGACAAAGTGGGACTCTGTCTCAAAAAAAAAAAATGTGGAAAACAATATTTTAGTGTCTATGTATTAGACACGTATAGAATTTTATGTGTGTGTGTGTGTCTGGCCTTTAAATAGGAAAACCCGAGCAGCCAGCGCTGCAGACCCGCTCCCATATCCCCAGGTCTCTGAGGGCACCAGGACCTGAGGGCTGCAGAGCTGCTAATGGGGGTGAGGCTGGGCACAGGTCCTTTGCCATCCTGGGGCTCCCAGGGCCCTTAGGGAGGGAGGAAAGGCCACGGGACAGTGCTGTCCGGAAAGCAGCCAGACCCCGGAGAGCAGAGAGGAAGAGGAAGGCCCCCAGGTCCAGGGGCTATGCTGCTTGCGGAGCTCACGCAGTCCCTACCCGCCGTCATCTTCACTCAGGGAGTCTCCTCCCTCGGCTCCCTGATTCTACTTCTACCTCCTAGAATCCACTCACCACAAAGCAGCCAGCGATCATGTCAACACGTCCCCCTTCATACCCTCCAGCAGCCTCTAATCACGCTCGAACCCTCACCTCTGCCACGGTCACAAGGTCACGCCCGCCTGCCCTGCCACCTCCACCTGGGACCTCTCTTCCCCAGACACCCCCAGCGGCAGAGGGCATGCAGTCCCTGGCATACGGGCAGCCAAGATACTGAGGGGTGGGAGGAGAGGGGGATTAGGGTGAGCGGGGCCAGATCAAGCTCCTGCAGTCATTTGGGCAGGAAAAGAAAAGATGAAATCCACCAGGGCAGAAACAGAACAGGATGAAAGGCAGATTTAGGAGAGACCCAGAGTCCCTGAGTCGGGGAGTGGGGGAAGATGAGGGTGCCTGGGGGCCTCTGGTGCGGCCTGCTCGGAGCTGATGCCATGGGCAGGTCCCAGGACTTGTGGTGGTGGTGAGCTGAGCAGCGGGAACTGAGCCTCACACCCCAGTTCCGGGTGTGCAGAGTGCAAGTTCCTGGGGGCTGTGTGTGGCCTGGAGGTCTGAAGAGAGCCGGCTGGGCACAGAACCTGTGGCTTGGCCTGACTGCAAGCAGCACCTGCTTCCTCCAGTGGCAGTGAGCGCAGAGCCAGGCAAGGGCAGGCAGCGCCAGAGCCGGGAGGAGGGAGAGAGGGAAGGAGTCCTGAGCAGAGGCAGAAGACGGCCTGTGGCAGTGGAGTCCTGGTGGCCAGGGGTGAGGCAGTGTCCTGGAGGAAGCGGGGGTAGCAGCGCTGAAGCCACGGCAGCGCACCCTGGAGAAGTGGCCGGGCTCTCGGGAACCTTGGAGAGAGCGGGAGGAGGACAGGGAGCCCGCAGCAGGGCCGAGGTGGCGGCAGGACGGGGTGGTTCTGGAGACCGGAGGGTGTGGGAACCTGAAGGGAAAGCCAAGACCCAGGCAGAGGGCGAGGCTGCGTGTGGGGAGGAGGGAGGGTGACCGTGTGACCGCGGATCGCAGGCTCCTCATCGCGCCTCTGCAGTCCACGCGGACTTCACCTGTTCCATAGAAAGCTCCAGGAGGAGGCACTCAAGGAGAGGAAAGAACTCAGGGGGCGGAGAAGGACCTGCCACACTGGCGTGCTTTGTGTGCACCCTGAATGAACAAGAGTTTCCGGTCCCTATCAGTTTCCAAGCAGGAGTGAGTCAGAGAGGGCTCTGTCAGCTGCACGTCTGTGCGGACCCCAGCAATTACCTTTGCCTCCTCCCCAGGGCCCGTTGTTTCTGCTTTTCTTTTCCAATGTCATCTCTGATTGTACTGAAATCATCGTTGTCGTCAACCAGGAGATTCTACATTTCAAAAGAAGCAATGAGCAGTGTTTTCTGACATCTTTTTAGCCTATATTTAAAAGAGGCATGTTTAAAAAACTACCTATATTGACAAAAGGACAGATTCAAATTTACATAAACTAGGTGAATAACTGATTTTAAAAAAATCCTCTTGCTCGATGAAAACAAACTCGAGGGTGGCAAGAAGAGCTCTACAAGAGAAATTAATTTCCAGCCATCTGACCTTTCCCTTCGGCTCCAGAAGCTTCCACTGGGAGTGGCCACACAGGGGCACTTTAAAGGGCTACCAGGCAAGAACATGAAGCACAGAGATCATCCACATTGGCACACGGATCTCTCACTGCTGTGCCAGAAGCACTGCTGTTTGCTGTATAGACACTGTCAGTCTGTTCTCGCCTCTGTATTTCTATAGTCAGCCCCAGCTTCTGAGAGGCATGAACTTGGCTTTACTTCCTTGGCATCTCCTGCAAGCCTTCACCGCAGGGTTTCACAAACACAGGCTGCTCCATGGGTTCTCGTGACTGGGCAAGCCTCCTCCCTTTCCCAGCACTTACAGGTCATTTTCCACACGCATGGTATTTCCATAAATGCTGCCCACAGGGAGGATGCCTCGGGGCGCACCCAGGAAGGGAAGTGCGTGCCAGGAAAGACACAGTGCAGGGCCTGCGGGATTCGTGCTTGGGGTTGCCCAGGTTGCTGGCTGCATTCTCAGGTGTGGAGGCGGGGAGCTGGCTCTGGCTACACATCACAGTTAAACTCTTCAATGACTGAGATATGAACCAAGCTCTGCAGGAGGGTCTGGCTACTTCTCAGTGCCCCACCTCTGCTAGGAACATGTTGTGTCAAATATTCTAATCTCTATTCTAGTACACTGATAAGCAAATATTATAATTTCTGTTCCAGCAAATTGCACATGACACAAGTTTTAAAAATTGTGGGGGGGCTGAGGCTGGGGAATGGGAGACTGAGGCAGGAGAATCGCTTGAACTCGGGAGGCGGAGGTTGCAGTGAGTCAAGATCACGCCACTGCACTCCAGCCTGGGCGACAGAGTGAGACTCTATCTCAAAAACAAACAAACAAACAAACAGACAGCAACAAAAAAACCCTGTCAATTTCTTTCCACTTCATTCTATTCCTGTAATGCTTCAGTGAGCATATCCACGTGTCTCCACGCACCTATGGGTGAGTTATTCTAGGGAATATAGCTAGGAGTGGGACTCCTTGGTTGTATCGATGGGCATCTGTGTACGAAAATAACACCATACTGCTCTCCAGAGTAGCTTGTGCTCCCACGGGAGTGTTTTTGTTTTTGACACAGGGTCTGACTCTGCCACCCTGGCTGGAGTGCAGTGGCATCTCAGCTCACTACAACTTCCATCTCCTGGGGTCAAGTGATCCTCCTGCCTTAGCCACTCAAGAAGTTGGGTTTTGCCACGTTGCCCAGGCTGGTCTCAAACTCCTGAGTGCAAGTGATCTGCCTGCCTTGGCTTCCAAGAGTGCTGGGATTACAGGCGTGAGCCACTGCGCCCGGCCATGTGTGTGGGAGTTCCCATGGTCTCGTTAGCAAGGGCAGCTCCCTGCTGGATTCTGCAGTTCCCTGCTCACTTGGCAAGCTGGTTCTCTTTTCATGTGTTTCCTGGCCATTCTGTTCTCCTCTGTGAACTGCCAGGTGATAACCTTGGCCCACTTCTCTAGTGGGTTATTTTTTGATAACAGATTTGCAGAAGATCTGCTGTCTATGCTGGAGAATAACCCTCTGCTGTCTTACTGCATATGTCTCTCCCCCATTTGTGACTTCCCTTTTCACTGTTTTTTATGGTTTCCTTTGATGAACAAAAGTTCTCACTTCTAATGTAATGAAATTTATTGATTCTCTTATGGTTTGCACTTTTTGTTTAAGAAATCCTTCTTGCCAGGAGTGGTGGCTCACGCCTGTAATCCCAGCTCTTTGGGAGGCTGAGGCAGGTGAACTGCCTGAACTCAGGAGTTCAAGACCAGCTTGGGCAACACCGCATAACCCTGTCTCTACCAAAAATACAAAAAATTAGCTGGGCATAATGGCACGTGCCTGTGGTCCCAGCTATTTGGGAGGCTGAGGTGGGAGGATCGCTTGAGCCCATAAGGCAGACGTTACGGTGAGTGGAAATCGCGCTACTGCACTCCAACCTGGGTGACAGAGTGACACCCCATCTCAAAACATAAAAAAATAGAAGACAAGATCGAAAATGAGTACTTTTCACATTTAAGTCTTCAACTGGATTGCCTGTTGACGATGGTGTGAGCAGAGGTAAGTACAGGTTTTATGGGGCCGGACGCTGATTCAAGTCAAGCATCCGTAATCCAGAAATCTGAAACTCAATGGTGCATTTCAGATTTCAGAGTTTGGGATTAGGGAGGCTCAACCGTTAAGTATAATGCAAATATTCCAAAACCCGAAAAAAACCTGAGATCGGAAACAGCTCTGGTCCCAAGCATCTTGAATCATAGATACTCAACTTGTATAAAATTTATTTTATGGTTATGAAAATTCATGAATATGATTTTCCTACATAGATAACTAATTTTCCCAGCACCATTCATTGAATAACCCATTTTAAAATGTTACCTCAAGTATCTGTCACGTTTCCTTACATCTGTGATTCTGTTTCTGGGCTTTCCACCCTGTCCATGAGCCTGCGTATCTACCCGTGCCTGCATGCTACACTGTCGTCACAGCTGTGACAGTCAACACTTGGTAAGGCAAGGACCCTGTCCTTTTCTTCTCGCAGTGAGCCGAGATCATGCCACTGCACTCCAGCCTGGGCAACAGAGTGAGATGCTGTCTCAAAAAAATATAAAGAAAATCTTAGCTCTTTGGTCCTTTGCTCTCATGTATGAATTTATGCTATTAGTTTTATTTGATCTAATCTATGTGGATTTTCGTTGGAATTTCACTGAATTTACAGACTTGGGAAGAACTGATACCTTTACTATTGTGAGCTTTCCCTTCCAAGAACATGACGTGGCTTAACAGAAGCTTCCTTTAACACTGCTGAGTAAGGTTTTGTATAGGTTTTATACTCATCTTGGAACCTTTTGAACTCCTCTATCAGATCTAATCATTTATCTGTGTAGTCTCTTGAGTTTCCTTTTTTTTTTTTTTTTTTTTTTTGGAGACAGGATCTCTGTTGCCTGGACTGCAGTGCAGTGGCACGATCTCGGCTCACTGCAATATCCACCTCCCTAGCTCAAGTGATCCTCCTAGCTCAGCCTCCTGAGTAACTGGGACTAAGGTGTGTGCTAACACGCCCCGCTAATTTTTGTATTTTTTTGTAGAGACCAGGTTTCCATGTTGTCCAGGCTGGTCTTGACTCCGGCTCAAGTGATCCACCTACCTCGCCTCCCAAAGTGTTGGTACAGGCATGGAGCCCCGCACCCACCTTGATCTCCTTTGTAAGAACAGTTTATATTTTCCTTTTCACATTTCTTTTACTGCTCTTTTCAATTTTTATTTACTTTCTCTTTTGGCGGGAGGGAGGGTAACTCATTGCCGTGTTGGTTAGTACATGTGAAACAGAAGGGCGGCTAGGGTTCCTTACTTTGGGCCCCACTTCATGAAAAATGGAGCTTCTGAAGCTGTCACGTGCTGCTGCTAGAGTTTTGGGTAGATATGTGCATCAGGTTAAGGCGTTTCCTTCTATTCCTAGTTTGCTCTAAGTTTCTTTTTTTTTTTTTTTTTTTTTTTTTTTTTTTTTTTTTTTTTTTGGACGGGTCTGTCTCTGTCGCCCGGGTGGAGTGCAGTGGCCGGATCTCAGCTCACTGCAAGCTCTGCCCCCCGGGTTTACGCCATTCTCGCCTCAGCCTCCCCGAGTAGCTGGGACTACAGGCGCCCGCCGCCTCGCCCGCTAGTTTTTTGTATTTTTTAGTAGGACGGGTTTCACCGTTGTTCGCCAGGATGGTCTCGATCTCCTGACCTCGTGATCGCGCCGTCTCGGCCTCCAATGCTGGGATTACAGGCTTGAGCCACCGCGCCCGCCTCTAAGTTCTTTTTTTAAAGTCATGAATGAACATCGGGTTTTTAATAATAAATTTATTTTATGCTTTTTCTGCATCTCTTGAGTCTGGCAGGATTATTTTCTTACATAATCTATTCTTCATGCTGCCTCCTCCACATTCCTTGGATGACCTACTCTGACATCATGTACACAGTAGCATTTATTATTTATTTATTTATTTAATTAATTAATTATTATTTTGTGAGATGCAAGTCTCCACTCTGTCGGCCCAGGCTGGAGTGCAGGTGGCGCCATCTCAGCTCATTGCAAGCTCGCTCCCGGGTTCACACAATTTCTCCTGCCTCAGCCTCCGAGTAGCTGGGACCACGGCACCGCGCACCACGCCCGGCTGTTTTTTGTGTTTTTAGTAGGAGCGGGGTTTCACCGTTAGCCAGGATGGTCTCGATCTCCTGACCTCGTGATCCGCCTGCTTTGGCCTCCCAAAGTGCTGGGATTACAGGCATGAGCCACCGCGGCCCAGCCACCCCCACTTTTTTTAAAAACAATACTGGCAGGGCTGGAACTTGGTAATATTTTACTTAGAATTTTACATTTATGGTCAGAAGTGAAACTGATCTGTATCGTATTTTACTGTCCTTGGCAGTTTGGATGCTGAGGCTCCAGTGGCCCTGGGAAGTCAGCTGTCCAGTTTTCCCTCTTTTTTATGCATTCTCTGAAACAACTTGTATAAAATGGGATTATCTGTGTCTTAAAGATTCAATAAAACATCTCTATAAAATCATGTGACCCTCGTGTCTTGTCAAAGTGTAAATTTGCTGTTAAACAACTTACCTTAACACCAATAGTATCTCCGTCTTTCAAGTAATATGGTGCCCCTTGCAAATAATCTTGTTTTTTTTTCTTTTTCCTCTTGGTTATTTGTTGGTTCTGTGGGAAAATCAAACATCTTAAATAAGCAAAACTCAGCCTCAAGTTCTCACTAAATTCTCCATCACCGTGAAAAACTGCATAACCTCACTGCTAGGCCAGTAAGCCCCAATTTCTCTGAGTCAGCCCCACAACTTTACCCAGCTAGATATCGGAAGCCACTCGAACTTTTCGGGAAAGTATTTGGCAATTTCAATCTTCTCCACGGGAAGACAATAGAAATCAGCAACTCTCTGCCTCAGGGAGCCGGCAGTCCCGCCCTGGGCCGCGTTCCACACCAGGTCCAGGGCAGGGGCGTAGGTCCTCTCACCAGGGATGCGCACCTGTGTCCTCAGCAGCACGTCCTGGGGGCTGCACCAGAAAACTGTCAAGTGCCAGATCCAAACAAACAAACAAACAAAACCACGTGGTAACTTGAGGCATAGTGGGCAAAGCTTCCCCTCCAGCTTTTCTGGTTTTTATAAGGAGAGATTTTTCCCTAAATGCTGGATGCTAGTGGCAAACTCTTATTTCACAGTTCAATTTCCTTCAACCTTGATGAAGAGCGGAAGTGAAGATCCCACTCTTGGTCCACAGCAGACCCCTGAGACAGGGTAGGAAACCTTCCTCAGTGCGAGAGAAAACGGAAAGAGGCGGCAGCCTGAGCAGGGACGATGCGCGGAGGGGGACAGGGTGAGAGGGGCCTGGTCCGATACCCAGCAGCCCAGCAGGAGGAGAGCAGGCTCGAAGTAGGCAGTTATGCCCTGTGACTTTGGGGGCTGTAAATATAGGTGCTGTGAGGTAGCCAGGGAGAACAACCTGAGGGTTGGAATTGGGGAAGAGAGAACATGGGGGGGTGACAGACAAGACTGCAGCTGTGGGAGATGGGAAACCATTAGGAGGAGGAGCAGAAAGAACAACACTCAGCAAGGCAGGAGGAACAGAGGTGTCAGAGGTCAGCCACAGGCCATGAGAAGCTATAGATAAGAACTGGAAGGCAGCAAGGGAAATGAAGACTGTTTCTTAGGATGCTGAGAACAATGAGTGGTTTCTCGATACTTCTGTTAAGTGGTTTTTACATCAAAAGAGTGACAAAATGAGAAAATGAAATGACTGTAAGAAAAGAGAGCTCATGGGGAAAAGATTGTGGCCCCCATGGAAATCAGGGAGCGCAGAGTGCAAGAGCAGAGGCTGCACAGCCCCATGTCCCCCATGGGGGAGGGGCTGCCTGACCAGGGAGGTGAGGCCAGGCCGGAGCCCAGCACTAGTGGTGGCCAGAGGACGGAAAGGGCATCGGCACAGATGCTGAAAGTGCCAAGGAGAAGGACCAGAGGCTGCTGGAGAAGAAACAGGAGGGACTAGAGGCCTCCTTTGAGACAGGAGTGCCCTGGAAAGTCGGCCAAGGACAGAAGAGCCCATGGAAGGGCCTGGGGAGGCCCACCAGCTGCCTTCAAAGAGGCAAAGGCACATGTGTCCTATCAAAACCCGACACTGCTTACCACCACCTGTGACAAAGGGGCCAAAATCATAAAGAGCTCACACAAAATTCCCAAAGAGAGCTTTTCCTTTAAGACTTCATTACAAGAAGCAGGCAAAATACACGAAATACACCAATTCTGGCCTCTCACCAAATACGGTTTTTTGCAAAATAGCCCTGAACTTACCCTAGTTATCAAAGCCAACGTGAGCAACCTGGAGAACAAGAATAATATCCTTTCATTTATCATTTGAAGAACAAACACCTAGACGATGAAATAGTCAACACTGCGGTTGTTGGGTGAGGTAAAAAAAATCTCTACTCTGGGAACACATCTGCCTGAGAAAATATTATAACTATTTTTAAAGAGGTTTAAAATCCACATCATCTGATCTAGAATTCCTCTCCAGGAAACCTATTCTGGTTGTACAACTTGTAAAGAATGCACCAAAAAAGAAGAATTTTTAGACCAATATCCTGATGACATCAATGCAAAAATCCTCAATAAATACTGGCAAAACTGAATTCCCAGCACATCAAAAAGCTTATCCACCATATCAATGGGCTTTCATCTTGGATGCAAGGCTGTTCGACATAGGCAATCATAAATTGTAATCCCATAATATCACAGAACCCAAAGACCAAAAACCAATGATTTATTTCAATAGAATGCCCAGAAAACGCCTTTGACAAAATTCAACAGCCCTTCATGGCTAAAAAACCTCCAGTAAGAAATTCTAATTGATGGAACTATCCTCCAAAATAATAAGACTTATTTATGAACAACCCATAGCAATATCATACTGAATGGCAAAAACTGGGAAGCCTTCCCTTTGAAAAGCTGGCCCAAGAACAGGGAATCCTCCTTTCTTCACCACCCTCTTCCCCACTCCTATTCAACTAGTGGTTGGAAGTCTGGCTACCAGCCATCAGGCAAGAGAAAAGAAAGAAGGGTATTCCAGTAGAAAAGAAGAAGTAAATTAGTGCCCTGTTTGCAGTACATGATTGTATCATTAAAATATCCCCATTGCCTCTGCAGCCCAAATCCTAAGCTGAAAGCAACTTTACAAAGTCACTCAGGAATAACAAAAATCTCAATGTGCGCAAAAATCACAGCATTCTGATACACCCAGTAACAGAACAAACAGCAGACAAATCATGAACTGAACCCATTCCCAATCAGGGTTCAAAGAGAATACCAATACCTAGGGAATCCAACTTACACAAAGGGACGTAAAGGACCTCTTCCCAAGGAGAATCACAAACCACCTGCTCACAGTGAGCATAAAGGACCACAAACAAATGGAAAGAACATACATGCCTCATGGAATTAGGAAACGAAATCAAGTATTCGTGGAAAATGGCCATATTGCCAAGAGTGAATTTAATAGATTCAAATGCCATCCCCATTAACTACCAATACGTCCTTCCACAGAATTGGAAAAAACTGCTTTAAAGTTCCATATGAACCAAAAGAGACCACCGCACTTGCCAAGAAGCAAATCCTAAGCCCAAAGCACAAAGCTTGGAGGCATCATGGTACCTGACTTCAAACTAAACAAAGCCTACAAGTAAACCAAAACAGGCATGGTATGGACCAAAACAGAGATATAGAGCAATGGAACAAAACAAGAACCCTCAGAAATAAATAACCACACACATCTACAGCCATCCTGATCCTTTGAACAAACCATGACAAAACAAGAAATGGAGAAAGGATTCCTATTAATAAAAATGTGCTGGGAAAATGGGCTTAGCCATGGAGTTAGAAAGCGTGAAACTGATCCTTTCCTTACTCCTTGATATGCAAAATAATTCAAATGGATTAGAGACTAAAAGTTAACCTAACCATAAAAACCCTAAGAAGAACCCTAAGGTAGATACCTTCAGGACACCAGCCTGCAAAAGGACTTCATTCTAAAACCACCAAAAGCAATGGTAACGGAAGCCTAAAATGACAAATGGATCCTAATGAAAGCTAAAAGAGCTTCTGCACAGCAAAAGAAACTACCACTCCAGAGGGAACAGCAAACCCTAGCAGAATGGGATGGAACATTTTTCGCAATCTACTCATCATGACCAAAGGGCTATATTTAGAAACCTATACAGACTCAGTCAAATTTCAAGAAAAACCCACCCATCAAAAAATGAGGCAAAGAGATACGAATCAGACCACTTCTCCAAAAAGAAACATTCAATACAGCCAACAGACACATGAAAGAATGCTGATCATCCACTCGCCATCAGAGAATGCAAATCAAAACCACAATGAGATTCATCTCACACCAGTTAGAAACTGGCAATCATTAAAAAATCAGAACAATAGGTTTGCCGGAGAGGATGGTAGAGAAAATAGGACACCTTTTACACTGTTGGGTGGGATCTGTAAACTAGTTCAACCATTCGTGGAAAACAGTGTGGCGATTCCTAGGCGATCTAGAGAACTAGAAATACCATTTGATCCCAGCCAATGCCATTACTGGGATATACCAAAGGATTATAAATCATGCTGCTATAAAGGACCACACACAACTACTTATTTTATTGCGGCACTATTACACATAGCAAAGAACCTTGAATCAACCTAAATGTCCATCAGTGACAGACGGGTTAAGAAAATGGTGGCACATATACACCCATGGGATAGCCATGCAGCCCAATAAAAAAAGGAATGAGGTTGTGTTCCTTTGTAGGGACATGGATGCCAGCTGGAAACACATCATTCTCAGCAAACTAGTCCAAGAACAGAAAACACCAAACTGCATGTTCTCACTCAATAGGTGGGAACTGAAACAATGAGATCACTTGACCACAGGAAGGGGATCATCACACACCCAGGTCCTATTGGTGCGGGGGGTGGGAAGGGATGCATTAGGAGTATACCTAAGTAACGGTGTAATGGGGGCAGCACCCCAACATGGCACATGTATACCATAATAACAAACCTGCACGTTGTACACAATGTACCCCTAGAACTTAAAGTATAATGAACAAAAAAAGAAAATGCAATTTTTTATAAAACCACTAAAATTAACCGGGTTAGACATGCGGTTGAAAGAGAACCTTTCTCATATCACCAGCCAGACCAAAGAAGGATATTCCACATCCCATGAACAGGGAGCGCAAATTTAATACTTCCATGGATAATTTACAAAAGGAACTTGCAATAATATTCTCTACAGCGAAAAGAGAACAGATGTTTGATTGTAGACAAATTCTGGTGTGCAATCTTTACTAATAATAATTATTGACTATGACATGGGCCACGTTACATTCCGTAGGTATTGAAGGAATATAGCAAAATTAATAAATTAAGTTCTTATGATTCTAGTATTGGGAAACCAGATACGTACCACTAAATCATAAGTAGAGGATATGTCCAGGTGATCTAGGATGAGAAAGTGAATAAAGGGGGCAGAGCACCGGGACGATGATAAATCCGTTGGACGGTGGACTGTCTGACACACTGATGACAGCTGCGGGTGGGTCTCTTGCTGACACTTCAGGGTCATCATTGGGTCAATATGCACCTGGTGGTTACTGAAAAATTAATTCTCCCTTACTGTTTTTAATGGGAGAATAAGTTCCAAGTTTTAGATGCCAGACATACATATTTCTAGAACACGCTCTGTTTGAAGTTGCTAGGCTACTTAGAAGCAGTGAAAAAATACTACACTATTAAGTTGTTAAACCTTAAAAAGGCAAACTATGTTAAGATATGTGTGTATCACTTTAGATGCAAAGTAGACTTTCTTACCCCAAGTTTTCTCCTTTCTGAAGGGGCTCTAAGCAGATCTCAATTCTCCGTCCTAGTTTATATTCCCTGATAATAAGTGAAACAAGATAGTATTGAGTGACATAACATTTAATTTTCTTGAATTTTTTTTCCCCCAATTTTAAGCTTTTTTCTTAAGCAAAGGATTGTTTTCTGAGTACTTATAAGAACACCCAAACTTTTGGAAAAGGGGAAAAAATGAGAATCCTTGCTGTGGTGATTATTTAGATACTTCAGTCATTTCTTACTAAACATGTAGGTCTGGCTCTGGGAAGATGGCCAAACTGCTAAAGAAATTTCCCTCTGTTCAGCCGGGGTTAAGATTCTCATGCCAGTCACTTTGGGGTGGTAATCAGAGCTGATTAAAAGCAGCCTTGGCCAGGCACAGTGGCTCACGCCAGTAGCCCCAGCACTTTGGGAGGCCGAGGTGGAAGAATTGCTTGAGGTTAGGGGTTCGCGACCACACTGGGCAACACAGGGAGACCTCGTCATAATAAAAAATTAGCCTGGTGTCGTGGCACATGCCTGAGGTCCCAGTTACACAGGAGGTTGAGGTGGGAGGATCACTTGAGCCCGGGAGGTTGAGGCTGTAGTTGAGCCATGATCACGCCACGGCATTCCAGCCCGGGCGACAGAGCCAGACCCTGTCTATTAAAAAAGGAAAGAAAAGGAAAGAAAAGGGAGAGAGAGAGATACGGAGAGAGAGAGATACAGAGGGAGAGAGAGAAAGAGAAAGAGAGGGAGGGAAGGGAGGGGAGAGAGAGAGAAAGAGAGAGAGAAAAGAGAGAAAGAGAAAGAGAGAAAGAGAGAAAGAAAGAGAGAAAGAATAGAACAGAAAGAATAGAAAGAAAGCCTCAGGGCTGCTTTTTGCAAAGGAAATGACCCAAACCTGCTCTTTAAGTTCAAAGGTTCAGAAGGAGGATCAGCTGAATCCAACACTTCTCAGTGAGAAACAGCTGCTCCTACTTTCCATCTCACTCCAAATGCTTTTAAGTTATATAATGTCACAGTCACTGGAGCATAGAAAAAATATACAACACTACATTTATGCTTAACATGGAAAACTGAAGTCTTGCTGCAGTTTATGATGAAAAGTGCCACCCAAGTCATAAGCATGGCATGACCAGGAATGGGCTTTGTTTTCACTCAGCTCAGAAGACGGATTCCTCCTCCATCTCCTGCACCAGCCAGTGCGGCAGCAGCAGAGAGGGACGGCGTTGCGTCCAGCAAGGAACCCACCTGAGCGGCTGCCGGTCAGTTCGTAAAAGCCTGCCTGGGCGCTTCCTCTCCACTGTCCAGGCTCTGAGGTGGGCTGGGGATGGGACACCGAACTCCAGGAATGGGGGCAAGGTCATGGCCTAGAAAAAGAAAGAGACATTTCTCCAATGGTTTTAAAAAGCACTCTTCAAAACATACTGTTTTAGAAAAAAAACGAAGCACTACACAGTGACACCTCAGGGAAGGAGTATCTCAAGTAATGAGAACATCATTTAAAAAGTCACAGGAATCTCTCTCTCTTAAATGACACTAACCCTGAGAGGTCTTCATATTCCTCTGCACTGAAATCAGCTTGAGAAAGAAGTGAGTTCCCTATCTCTAAAGCTGAGTCAAAAGCATCTTTTTAATCATCATGTTTAAACAATGAAACTTTGGAATTAACTTCCATGTGAGTAGAATTCACCAGGGCAGAGCTAACAGTATAGCGAGGGACTCAGCCTTCTTCCGTGCCAATGCAGTTCTCCACCAGTGTTTGCCGATGACTCAGCTTTTGATTTTGAAATACTTCACAATCTTTGGCTGCAATCAGTAGGCCCAAACTGCTTGTTCTAATTCTGAAGGGATCACTTTAAGCCCCTACTGATATACTTTGGTTGGAGCCTCTAAAATTACCAATATTCATCCATTTTTTGACCTAAAAACAGCAACTTTATATCTTTCAACTTAATATTAGGAAAAAAGTATCTTCCCACTTGTTCTCATGAGAATAAGGCTGTCTGCTTTTTCTTTTCTCCTTTCTTTTTTTTTGAGACGGAGTCTCACTCTGTCACTCAGCCATCTCGGCTCACTGCAACCTCCCCCTCCCGGGTTCAAGTGATTCTCCTGCTTCAGCCTCCCAAGTAGCTCGGATTACAGGTGCCTGCCACCATGCCAGGCTAATTTTTTTTTTTTTTGTACTTTTAGTAGAGACGGGGTTTTACCATGTTGGTCAGGTTAGTCCCAAACTCCTGACCTCAAGTGATCCACCTGTCTCAGACTCCTAAAGTGCTGGGATTACAGGCATGAGCCACCACACCCAGCCAATGTATGCTTTTTCTCGAGGAAGGGTATTTCATGTACTGAGGGCACACAAAAGCCAAACATCAACAACCACTAGTCATATACAGGGCCCTACATTTTCTCCTCTAAGAGAAGAAAGGAATGCTCATTTCAGTCCAATAGTAGATGGATGCTTCTCCAACACTGTGTTGTACTTAATCCAGCCTTTCCATTTGGGTAAAACCCTCCTCCTCTGTGAATGTTAATGCATAAGAAACAACACAATATCTAGAATATCTAGTTTAGTATCCTAACATAAAAGCTGGGGTTCTAACCTCCTGGAAAACTGGTAACACAGCGTTTCATAACAACATTTAACGTATGGGTCACAATGGTACACAAACAATGTAAATAAAGGGATAAAGTGAATGCTTTACAAATGTTCCAAGAAACCATGTTTCCCTAAAAAAATAAAAATGAACAAAAGCCGCAAGTTACTGAGGACAGATTGAAACGAAAGCACAGCATGCCTGTCAGAGGAGGGACCAGTGAGGCCACGAGGAGCCATCTGCACCACGGGCATGTGTTGCCTGCGGGTACTTACCACTGAACATGGCATATGACAAATGCCATATCAGAACCGACTGTAATTGAGGGAAAAGGAGATAGAAGAATAGATTAATATCTCACTGGAAGAAGCCACATTACCACTCAGTTATGGTGCAGGAAGAAGTCTGACCTGAGACTTCAGCTCCGCCAGCGTGGCATCTTCTGAGATCTCTACGTCTCCCAAGTAGAGGAGAGAAACTGGCGCAGGCTCATTCACAGAAGCACCTTCCAAAGGACAGAGCGGGATGTTTACAAGGAACTTGAAACTTATTTTGTGTTTCTGAAATACACCGCCATGTTTTGATGTCGTAAATAGGTTATTAAAATTCCACTCAAAAGCCTCTGCATCCAAGTCTTGTGAGGAGGCCCTGTCTGGCAGGTGAGCAGGCAGGGACATGTTGTCGGCAGAACCCCATGAGGTATTTGACACTTATGCCCCTACCTCGAATGTACTTTTCCACATTCTCTCCTTCCTCAAAAAGGACTTTTTGGGTAGGATACGCTGCCTGCATTCTGTATGTTAGCTTCCTGTTTTCCTCTCATAACACTCATCCCAACTTGTTCCTCGTGTGTGTGTCTGTGTGTGTGTGTGTGTGTGTGTCTGTCTGTCTGCCTATGTGCAGATGTTTAATCTGCCCCCTCAAAACAACAGAATTTTCAAGAGGAGGCAGGCCATCTATCTTGTCTCCCAGTTCCCGGTACAATGGATGTCACATAGTAAGTGTCCAATAAGTGTTTACTTATAACGAAATCTTGACAATAAGAAGGCCTTTCCAAGTTTGTTAAAAAAAAAAAAAAGGGAAAAACACAATGTTTTCTCATCAAAAACAACATAAAAGCTGACAACTAAATTTAGACTGTCTTCACTTATTTTTGCTTTAATTGTCTTTACTGCTGAGCACGCCACTAATGCATGGCAAGAAATTACAGAGAGATTAGAAGTCAACTAAGTGCATAAGAAGTTCTTCTTGTGTCTTAAGGAAATTACAGGCTGACACTACCGGAAAGACAATTTTAGGAAATTCTAAAGAATGAAATATATAATCACACGCTACACAATGATTTGGTCAAAGACCACACATATGATGTGATCCTATAAGATTATAATACCATATTTTCACTGTACCTTTTTCTGTTTAGATACATAAACACTTGCCACTGTGTTATGACTGCCTTCAGTATTCAGTACAATAAGCTGCTGTACAGGTCTGCAGCCTACGAGCAATAGGCTACTCTACATAGCCTAGGTGTGTAGGAGGCTCTACCATCTAGGTTTGTGTAAATCACTCTACCACGTTCACACAATGAAGAAATCGTCCGACGATGCATTTCTCAAAACATATTCCTGTTGTTAAGTGACACATGAGTGTATTTCCCATGTGTTGTGTACAGATGTATTACCAAAAAAAAAACCTTTTATTTACTTTCATGTAGAAACATACTGATTAAACATGCTTTTACAATCTATATCCAATTCTATATGTAACTAGAATTCTATCACCAAAGCATTTTTAGCATTAATTAGCATGAACTAGTGTAACCCAACTAAAAAGTAACTTTACGCCAATGTTATAGCTCATTCAACATTACTCTATACATATAATCCTAACTTCAAAGAATAAGGAGATAAGAATGACTCATTTATATTAATTTTATTACTGAGGCTGAAAAGATTAAAAAGAAATATAAGTAATATACTTCAAAGCACAGAAAAACTAAGTGAGCAGGATAAAAAGAAAAACATAGCGAAAGAGTTGGGCCTATTAAAAACATACTCGCTCCATTTCTTTATAATGAAGTGGAACTCTTCTTTGTACAAGGGCAACTGAACTCACTGATAGTGACTTCTGCCCATCGCGATGTGTGTGGCTGAATGCTGAGTAAGATAACATGCTTGTACTTGTCTGTGTTCTTTCTCAGAAGGCAGTGAGATGACGTCAAATGCCCTAGAAGCAGTTCCTGAGGGTTTTGAGGCAGAAAGATTGGAAGACATGTAGGATGTGGACTCCTGGTCTCTGCCCCTGTGAGCTAAAATGACATCACTAGAATTGGTTGAAGACTCAGTATTCTGGTACATGGTGATAAATGGGGCCCCTGTTGCCCTGAGGATCTTGAGAGATACATAAAAGTCTTTGGAAAGTGTAATATATTGATATAATAATAAACAAGATATGTAGTGCTTTACAGAGGTTACAGAGCATGTACGGAAATAGCCCGGTGTTATTATGTGATGTCTGGAATGACTTATGAAATTAATAGGCCTTGATTTTCAAGATCTTACATTTTAAAAATAAATATTTCAATTGACTCTCAGAGCACAGGCAGTCAATTTACTTCTCTTTATGATGCACTGGCTGCTGAAATCCCATTCTGTTCTCACCTTGGCTGAAAGCGGCTCTCCAAACTCCACCCCGAGAGGAAGTACAGTTGGTCTGGTCCTGATGACTCTCGCAGTGTCCTGAGGGACCCTGAAGCTGGTACCACCAGATGGGCACCTTCAGGAAACCCTGAAGAATGGAGCATGTTTAACTGCTGTGATTACAAAGATTAAGTGAAACTCCACTTTCACTTCCATAGAAAGAAACATCTTGATGACCTAAGATGTTCTTGAACTTAACCATTTTTCCTCTTAGATTTATTAACTGTCATAAATTATACTTGTTGTTTTTACAATCAAAAATTTAAAATCATAAAAATCAGACTTTGGGGTGACTGGACTAAACGTCCCTTGCTTAGAAGTATCTTAGTAGATAAAATAAATGAGAAGCATAAACAAGAGCAATGCATTTGCTTGAACACACTATACCAGTGTTTCCAGGCGCTGTCCAAGCACTGCTGACCCAGGATACCAGTCCCAGCAGTGCCATTTATCACACAGATGCAAGAGCCCATTGATCTAAGTTTGGTTTCTGATACAAACTAAAGGAAATAAACCCATTGTCTTACACATACCCTGTAATTTCAGTTTTACTTATTGAGCTAGTTCTTCCCACCTCATTTTTTGTTAGTGAAGAATTTTAACAGGTTTATTAAGAGATAAAAGGTGCTATTGTTGCAGCACTTAATTTCCAACAATAGAAGATGAGAATAAAAATTAACCACCTAAAACATTTAAAATAGATAGTTCAAGAAATGTGCATTGGAATATTTTTCTGTTTATCAGATTGGTGAAGATTAACAAATATTTGACCTTCATTCGATTAAATAAATGTAAATCAGAATAACAAAATTCCATTTTTTTCACCTAGCAGACTGTCAAAAACCAGACAATTATGTGGGTGAAAATATGGGTAAACCTGAACACCTGTAAGTTGGTAGCAGGAATATAAACTCCCGAGAAGTTTCTGTAGAATAATTTGCCTATACCTGTCATATTTTAAAATGTGCAAGTCCTTTGACCCAGCCATTCCATGTTTAGGAATTTACATTCTGATACACTAGTGCATGCATAGAAAGCCATATATGCAAGAGTATTCTTGCAAATTGTTTATGGGACCAAGAACCATGAACCAACTTCAAGGACCCTCTTTAAAACATTTTTTGCTGGGCTTGGTGGCTCACACCTGTAACCCCAGTACTTTGGGGAGGCTGAGGTGGGAGGACCGATTAAGCCCAGGAGTTCAAGACCAGTGTGGGCAACAAAGTGAGACAAAAATAAAAAAATGTTTAAAAACTAGCCAGGCACAGTGTGCCTGTAGTCCTAGCTGCTTAGGGGCTATGGTGGGAAGATCACTTTGAGCCCAGGAGATCGAGCTGGCAGTGAGCTGTGATCATGCCACTGTACTTCAGCCTGGGTGACAGAGCCAGACCCTGTTTAAAAAAAAAAAAAAGACTGTGCAATTTCAGTTCTAGGAATTTATCCTGTAGATATACTCATATATACAAGCAAAATGGTGCATATATATTATATATATGTGTATTATATATATGTATTTTATATATATTATATATATATTTTTTACATTGTTACTTGCATCAACAAAAGACTGGAAACAGCCTAAATATTCTTCAAAAAGAGACTGGTTAAATAAATTATAGTCCTCCAAACAATGGAATATTATGAAGCTACTAAATTGAATAAGATAGCTTTACAGCATATACTTGGAGATAAAATACTAATGGAAAAAATCTAGGTACAGAATAGGCTGCCTAGCAAATAATCTTTTGTGCAAATAAAAAGGAATAAATATGTGTATGTGTGGATGTATATGCTATGTATATACACAGTGAACTATGTATTTAAAATATTTTACATGGTTAGTCTTCACATTCTCATTGTTTATTGTTTGAAATTAAGTGTTGTAACAATAACACCTTTTATCTGTCTCTTTTTTTTTTACTTTTAAAATTTTTATTGAAAAGAGACAGGGTTTCACCATGTTGCCCAGGCTGGTCTTGAACTCCTAAACTCAAGCGATTTGCCTGCCTTGGCCTCCCAAAGTACTGGAATTACAGGCATGAGGCACCGCGCCTTGCCTACCTTTTATCTCTTAATAAACCTACTAAAATTATTCAGTAACAAAAAATGAGGTGGGAAAAACTAGCACACTTCAGTGTGTGCAAGTATGTGTGTATATTAAAAAGTACAGCCCTTTGGAAGGATGCAGAGAAAAGCAGCCGCCTGTTGGGGAGAGGATGCTGGGTGGCTGGAGCCAGAGACAGTAGGGACACTTGCTTTTCCTGGCCCAGCTTTTCATAACACTTGGAATTTTGTATCATGAGTACTGCCTATTCAAAAATTAACTTTAAAGACCATTGAACAAAATATAATAGAATTCTACAAAGTTGTGAAAAATAATAAGGTAGGTGTATATGTGCTGATGTGAGGAGCTTCGCAAGATACAGTAAGTGAACAAAAGCAAACAAAACAAGTGTAAAACAATGTAGAGAATACTTAAAAAGGATATGCACATATTTGCCTTCAGCAAACAAATACGTGTAATGTTTTTCTCAGAAGAATACACGAGGAAAAATGAGCTAACTGGGGCTCTCTCTGGAGAGAAAAGGTGTAGGAGTGATTTCTGCTTTTCATTTCATAGCCTTCTGTACTGTCTGAATTTTCTAATCATAAGCAAATAGTTATCTGAATCTTGGAATTTGGGGCCATTTGTTTCTCTTTTGGGTTCACCTTTGTGTGCATCCTCAGTTTAAAAGAAACGATATAGGTTTTAGAAAGTAGTGCTATGCAATGCTTACTAAAGGGCGTGAAATGAGCCCTCTCATATGCTACTGCATATAACATCAAGGCTTTAAAGAGGTCACACCTCTGGACTTAGGAATTCCACATTTAGAACTCTTTTCAGAACGACTCATTTCAGTACTATTTATAAAAACAAAATAGTAAAAACAAGGTAAGTTTCCAACAATGAGGATATAGATGAATTAAATTAGTAAAACATTACCTTGGATATGATGATTATTTTTGGATTTTATGAGAAGGTTAAAATGTCAAATATAAAAAGCAGGAAATAAAAATGTTATATATAATTGATTTTAATTTTGTGTGAGAATATTTATAAGTTAGGAAACATATCTGATTGACAGCATTTGCGGAAAGTTCTCTATTCTCTTTATGACTGTCTGAATTTCCCCGTTTTCCCTAAATGAGGCTATATCATCTCTGTAATCAGGTAACAATAATTATTACTTACGAGATGTCTATGCAGAAGTAAAATCTTACCGGAGGAGGAAGTTGTCCTTCAATTAAAAGCAAAGTATCTCCAGAACATATCAGAAGTTCTTTCAGTGTTGCCTCCTGGGAAGACAGAAATGCTTTTTTGTCACTTACGACTTCTGAAAGGAACAGATCATTGGATCTTTTTTTTTTTTTTTTTGAGACGGAGTCTTGCTCTGTCACCCAGGCTGGAGTGCAGTGGCGCCGTCTCAGCTCACTGCAAGCTCCGCCTCCCGGGTCCAGGTCATTCTCCTGCCTCTGCCTCCCCAGTAGCTGGGACTATAGGCGCCCGCCACCACGCCTAGCTAATTTTTTTTTTTTTGTATTTTTAGTAGAGACGGGGTTCCAGGATGGTCTCAATCTCCTGACCTCGTGATCCGCCCGTCTCGGCCTCCCAAAGTGCTGGGATTACAGGCGTGAGCCACCGCGCCCGGCCGATCATTGGATCTTTTTAAAACCCCATGCCTCTATTATCTTTTCAAAAATTAAATGAATAATAAAGCAGATATTGAAGACACAGGAAATAAGCTAAGACTATAAAATCAGTACAGCACTATTTGTTAAACTGTGGGGCATAAGCTGTAAGTATGACAAAAGATCTGAGGCAAAGAAGCTAGATGAGATGAGAAATGAGAGACTGATTTACAGAAGATGAAATTTTAATTAATCCTAAAAAGATGGGCTGGATTTGGAAAGCTAGAGAAAATAAGAAAAGGAATTTCTCATTAAAAAAAGGACAAGGGCCAAGTTAAGGTTGATAGTAAATATGGCTTGCTTTGGTAAAGCGCTGAGGCCACATTGATTCGAGTGGAAAGTACCAGGAGGTCACACCGGACTGGAAGGGCAGGCACAAACCACAGGACATGGACTAGAAATAAAGGAGCCACACAAGATTTCTGAGGATATTTTCCAGATCAATTTGGCAGACACTGAAGAATATGCATGACATTGAAGAGGGAATGCCTGGGCCCAGGAAAGCCATAATAATTTAGGTGAGAGGCATACGAAAGCTTGGACCTGGAGCCAAGCATGGGAATGGTCATGGAAGGGGTGCAAAAGATGACAGTTTAGAGGCCGAGAGGAAACATGAAGAATGAAAGATAAGGAGGGTAAACCATATTTCACTCTTAAAGATTAGGATGGGAAAGATACCTGGCAAGGCTGGAATGAGAAGCCAGTTCCAAAGGTAATGGGTTGGCTTCTGGCTGAATTCTCTGATGCCAATTTGGGAATTAATAGAGAAGAACATGCTGAAGCTATTTGGGTAAATATATTCTTCTGACATCCAAATTTTATGTCCTAAAGATGCTTTGAGGTCCACTTCTTACTCCAGGCAGTCAAACTCCTGGCCAGGCCCCAAGAGGGGCCTCTCGCTATTGACTTACTGACTGCTAAACAGCAAAGGGCATTCCAGTGCAAGGACCCAGCATAGCTGCCTAAATCAACCTTCTGCTGGCATTCAGTGGCCCTTCTTACAGAACAGGAAGCAGGCAGGTGAAGACTGGGGAAAGGGCGGCTGACCACAGCTCCCTAAGACTCCCCAGAGAGCTTTATTTTGGGTCTACTTCTAAGGCTACGCGTTTGAACTGGGAAATACAAGGCTACGTGGACCAACAAGATGACTAACCAGATTCCAACTATCCTGTGATAAAACTGTTCCTAAGCCTACCCTAAGAGTTTGGCTGGATCAAGAATTTGGACCAAAGCCTAACTTAGGAATGGTTGGTAAGACAAATTCTGCCACCATTACCTTACAGAGAAACTCTGAGATCAAAACATTCAAGGGCCAAAACTTCAGAGTGTATCCATAAAATTCCTTCATGAGCTCAAATGTCATTTGTTCTGTGAAGTTCTCTCCCTTCTCATGAACTACTCCTCCTACAGGCATACTCTCATGGCAAGGGAGTTTACCACAGATGTCAGAAATGTTCCCACTGCACTGAGACTTCCCCTTTATCAAAAAACTATAGTAAGAAAAATTAAAATAGACCCATTCATAGATAACTGTATCCTACAGAAAGTAATTAAAGCTTTCTCATGAGTGGAATGGGTACCTTGTATGAAAATATGACATAAATATAATCATATGCAAGAGTACAATGTATAGAAATCATCTTACTTCTTCACATAAAGGCTCCCCAGCTTCATAGCACCAATCCATTTTTCGTAAATGCCAGGCATCTCCTATAAAGGAGTCAAAATCGGGATTAAAAAAAAATTCAGAATATGCTTTAAGAGTGTCAGGAATGGCCCTTCTGGAAAAGTGAATATCAAAAGGGGTTAATCTGCTGATAAGTGTTCATTAGTTTTCTCTTCCAGAGCATGAAAGAAATTACATTTCCTCAATTTGATTTTCTCTGTCTCCCATGAAGAACTGTATACTCATGAATAAAAACAACATTTGCTACTATTGTATCAGGTTGGTGCAAAAGTAATTGTAGTTTCTGCCTTTATTTTATTTTATTTTTTTTTTTTTGAGACAGATTCTCACTCTGTCACCCAGGCTGGAGTATGGTGGCGCGATCTCGGCTCACCGCAACCTCCGCCTCTTGGGTTCAGGCGATTCTTCTGCCTGCCTCAGCCTCCCGAGTAGCTGAGACCACAGGCGCACACCACCATGCCTGGCTAATTTTTTTGTATTTTTAGTGGAGACAGGGTTTCACCATGTTGGCCAGGCTGGTCTCAAACTCCTGACCTCAGGTGATCTACCTGCCTCAGCCTCCCAAAGTGCTAGGATTACAGGCATGAGCCACCACGCCTGGCCTGCCTTTACTTTTGATGGCAAAAACTGCAATTACTTTTGCACCAGCTTAATACAATATTTACTTCATACCTTTATTTGTGTGTACCCACATACATACATCATGTATCAGTATACATATACGAACATACATACATAAGTATAGAATCCCTTCTCAAAGCATTATTGAGTTTTATTTCAGTGTCTTGGCTGAAAATAGATGCTAACATTGCCCAGCAACTGTCAATATGTACAAGAAAATTATTCCTATATACTTAGAAGTTAATCTAACAAAAACATAGTGCTAGTGCTTTCTGAATAGCATTTTAATACAGTTGGTATCAGTTAATATTTATACATGTTAAATTGACTTTAATCAAAGAGTTGTTTTTCAGAATACTTAATGCACTAGTGAAATGAGAAGATAATTTTTTGCTTTTTTAATCCTAATAGGCAAGCAAAGAGACTTTTTGGGGTTGGGAAGAAAGTTAAATGCAGTAAAAGAAAGAAACCCCAGTTATTAAAAATAATAGCAATGTTTATGAACACAAAACTCCCCCTACTCACCAAAAACATGAAATAGCCAAAGAATAAAACAGATCTCATATTTATCGGCACAGGCCACAGTTTTTGAATCCCTATACTCTTGTTTGCAGACCTTCTTTATCGATAGTTCTAGTTTTTTTCTTTTTTCTTTTTTTTTTTCCTGAGACAGGATTTTACTCCTGTCTGGAGTGCAATGATGCGATCTCAGCTCCCTGCAACCTCCGCCTTTCAGGCTCAAGTGATTCTCCTGTTTTAGCCTCCTGAGTAGCCGGGACTACAGGTGCACACCACTGTATCCTGCTAATTTTTGTATTTTTTGTAGAGGTGGGGTTTCGCCATGTTGCCCAAGCTGGTCTCGAACTCCTGGGCTCAAGTGATCCACCCACCCCGGCCTCCCAAATTGTTGGGATTACAGGTGTGAGCCACTGCGCCCAGCCAAGTTCTAGCTTTAAATACAGAAAAGTTTACATTAATTAAAAAACTCAATTTAAGTACCTTTAAGAAGTCACCAGTAAGTTAAAGGTGAACACTATTACTTCACGGTACAGCATGGTGAAAAGAACTTGGGTTGTGAAAGCAGAATGACCTAGATACTTGCTGTATAACTCTGGGGAAACCATTTCACCTTCCTTAGCCTTTGCTTCCTCATCTATAAAGTGGGCATGTGTGATAACCCCTGCATGGTAGGACTGCTGTCGAGGTTAAGTGAGACGTTGCGTGTAACTTCTAGAAGAATGTCCTGCGTCCAGGGCATCTTAACTTCCTTTCCAGATAACAAAGCTACGGGCCTCCAAGTTAATGAAGTCTGAGAACAGCAAAGTGTTCTACTGAAATCAGAATGAGGTCTCATCAAACTCATTGACATGATCTCACCTGGAAAGCTGCTTCAGTTATCTTAGATTTATTTTTTTCATTCATTTTACATTCCCTCACCTATACCACAAAAATACTGATATGAAACAGAATGCACTGAAATTTAGAATCAATGAAATTGAAAGGAATCAGTGGAAGACCTGTGTAGCTCCAGGTGGTATACATCTTAGTGTTATTTCTTTTTATTTTTTATTTTAAGTTCTGGGGTACATGTGCAGGATGTGCAGGTCTGTTACATAGGTAAACGTGTGCCATGGTGGTTTGCTGCACCTATCAACCCATCACCTAGGTATTAAGCCTAGAATGTATTAGCAATTTTTCCTGATGCTCTCCCTCCCCAACCCCCACACCCCCCCTACACCAGCAGGCCCTGATGTGTGTTATTCCCTTCCCTACGTCATTGTGTTCTCATTGTTTGGCTCCCACTTATAAGTGAGAACATGTGGTGTCTACTTTTCTGTTCCTGCATTAGTGTGCTGAGGATAATGACTTCCAGCTCCATCCATGACCCTGCAAAGGATATGATCTCATTCCTTTCTATAGCTGCGTAGTATTCCACGGTGTATATATGTACTACAGTGTCTTTATCCAGTCTATTATTGATGGGCATTTGGGTTGATTCCATGTCTTTGCTATTGTGAATAGTGCTGCAATGAACATACACGTGCATGTATCTTTATAATAGAATGATTTATATTCCTTCGGGTATATACCCAGTAATGGGATGGCTGGATCAATGGCATTTCTGGTTTCAGGTCTTTGAGGAGTTGCCACACTGTCTTCCACAATGGTTGGCCTAATTTACACTCCTACCAACACTGTAAAACATTCCTACCTTGTACCTTTGCTGGATCCTATCTAAGTTCTCTACTCAGAGCTATACCACTAGTTTTCTTTCAGCATGCCAACAAGAACCAGGAGAATTCATTATGTACATATGGAAGTGTAAACTACTTTTTATTTCTCCACACCCTGTAAATTTTTTTTCCTATAACCCTGGAGAAAAAAATAGTCAAAAAATTTTTATCACGCTTTTAAGTAATATGTCATCATGGTAAGTAACTTACCTTGTAGGCCAGATTTCTCCAGCATTAACTTTAAACACTGTAAAGAAAAACAATGTCCAATGTTAGTTTTCTGTTTCTGAATTACAGTTCTAGGACAAATACCCTTTTCGGACCCTAGGTCTACTTAAGTCTGACTATATTTAATGATTCTTGAATAGGTAAAGACAGACATAGTTAAGAAGATAATACACGAGTCAGCTTTCCTTTCTAAGGGCTAGATGGCGCCAATTCAGGACGAGGAAAAAACAATTTCCAGTGTTTGCAAGCAGGACTTAGTTCAAAGTTTCATCCACCAACTCCCAGATTTGAACCATAACTTTCTTCCTATAAGGATTAACTGTGTGTCTTTGGCCAGATACGATTAATCAAGCTAATTTCATAGACATTAAACTCTGAATCCTATAAAAGTAGATTAGCCTTTATTTAGCATCCATGAAACACAACTGATCATAGCATCCATGACACATAACTGACCATATTAAAACTCACAAGAATTGTGCAGGCTGTGCTGTCATGGCATAATGCAAAAATGAGACAATATTAATAAAAGTTTAACTGAAACAAAAATAGTAATTAAAACAATTTCTTGAGGGAAAAACATTGCTAATTAAATCTTGGACAAGCGAGCAAATACAATTTGATTTCTATTACACTAGAGCAAAAGAGAGCAAAAATAAGGATAGTCATTGCTGTACTGTTTGTAATAAGAGAAAAATGGCAAAAAAAAACCCCACCAAAATACACATTAATGGGAGATTTTTTAAAAAGTAGGAAATGTCTTAAAGCAGTTCAAAGAAAAAAACAGATTCATATATATTGATCTTAAAAGATCTTTAAAATATTTTAAGTGAAACAAATTTATAGTATAATACATGCAAAGTGATCCCATTTATAATTTAAAAGAAATCACAGAAGCAAAGCACACTCTGCAATTCTGTATGTATGTACATAGACACATGCTGGTATAGGCACAGCAAAGGTCTGGAGGGACACACACTCTACTGATGTGAATAAGATGATGTTATCTGATTGCAACAGTGACTTCTAGACAAAGGACTAGAATAGAGTGGTAACCAAGGGGGACTGTTAATCCCCTAGAAGTTTAAAAAGTGAGAAGAAATCCATGATTACTTGTATGATAAAAAATAAAAGAAGGCTTTAAAATGTAATTATAG